GCCATCCTTGCCCTCATGTAACTCTAAAATACGACCTAATGGCCACCTAACTCGTTTTTCTGGAGTTTCCACCAAAACAACATCACCCACTTTTAAAGTGTGATTCGCGTCCTTACCTTTCAGAACTAATAGTGCTAAATACTCGTTTCGAAAACGTACCTTCAGGTCATTCCTTAATTTTTGTAAATATTTGATCCGTATGTTCAGACTCTTGCCATCCAAATTATCCAAGTCCGTTACATCGGTACAACTTAAAGGTTGTAAAAAAGATGCTGGCGTAATTGGCTGTAATAAAATGTCCACATCGTCGACAATGTAACTCAGTGGTCGTGAATTGACGATAGCTTCACACTCCACTAAAATAGTCTCCAACTCAATATATGTCAGAGAAGCTCGACCAAGTACGCGCCTAAGCAACTCTTTCACTGTTCTTATCATGCGCTCGTACCACCCTCCCCACCACGGTGAACCTGGAGGGATCAGTATCCACTTTATACTCCGAATTGTAGCCTCCGACACTACTTCAGACCAATTTATGAGCTTAAATAGATTTCTCGCTCCGACAAAATTCGTGCCGTTATCTGAGTATATGGTAGAAATCCTACCTCGTCGGGCAATAAATCTCCTAAAAGACATCAAAAAATCTAAAGTGGATAAAGACGTAACTAACTCTAAATGAATAGCCCTGTAAACAGCACATGTATATAGTACCATCCACACTTTCTCCCCATTACGTAGGAAAAACGGCCCCGCTAAATCCACACCACTGATTTCAAATGGCTTACCAGCCTCGGTTCGATTAGTGGGTAAGGGTACAAGTGGTGTTGAACAAGATTTTCCTTTTTGCTTTCTGCAAATAACGCATCTTCTGGATATCTTCTTTGCTAAATTTCTTATACCCGTTATCCAAAATTTTTGTCTTAGATTCGCTAACAATGTTTGCATTCCCGCATGAAAAAGCTGTTCGTGTTTTTGAAACACTAACCTTTCTACAATCACGTGTTTTCCGGGAAGTAGAATAGGATACCTGTAACTTGAAGGAACATCTTCGGAAAACAACTTCGTTTTTACACGTATTAATCCATCTGAATCAACTATTGTACATAAATTTTTATACATTCTCTTATCCCCAAATGCTTCCTTTTGTATTAACTTAAATAAAACCATTTCAGCTGTGTCTATTTCTTCCATTTCTAAATAGCTCTGTTTTCTTGTTACATTCTTAAGATTATAATAAAATCGCAAAACCCAGGCAAGCATTCTCTTTATTAAGCTATATTTAGAAAAATATAAAAGGTTATTAGAAAAAAAATCTGTACCTTCTACAACGAAATTATTACTATCCACACTTTTCGTTGATAACAAATCTGGTTTATAGTATTTTTGAGTAATTGGCCATTCATCTTGTCTTTGCTTTAACCAATCTGGACCTTCCCACCATGAGGACTTCAGCAACGCGTCCGCTTGGCAACCCCTAGATGGAAGATCTGCTGGATTCAACGTGCCTTGAATGAAATGCCAATCGACAGTATTTGTTTCTTTGCGAATTTCTTTCACGCGGTTTTTAACGAATACTGCCCAATCTCCCTCATTTTTAATTCATGAAAGAACAACATTAGAGTCAGACCAAAAGTAACAAACATGTGTCATACCTAATGCAGTCTTAGCTTGTACATAAAGTCTCGTCCCTATAGTAGCGGCGAGTAGCTCCAGGCGAGGTATTGAAACGGTTTCTTTGCTAGGAGATACCCTAGACTTAGCCAATAATAACTGCACTGTCACTCTACCTTGAAGCCGTTTTAAAGCTACGTCTTTATTACTCACCAAATCAATATCTTCTTTCCATGGTAAATTGACTTCATATCTACCTTCCTGGTTCACTTGAATGGTATCATAAAAATAGTTCATTATCTCTCTTTGAAGTGCTTCAGTTTTCTTTATCTGTGCCGGATCTTTAATACCAATTGTTTCTAAGTCCCAAAGTTGTGCTGTAATATTTAAGCTAATAGTAAGGTTGGAAATTGAAGAAACATATGCATTCGAAGTAACAATATTCCCTTGTAACACCCAACCAAGTTTTGTATTTATCGCAACTAAAGAATTGTTTATTGAAATAACTTCACCGGTAAATAAGAAACCTGAATGATCCGCACCTATAAGTAGGTCAATATCAAAACAATCGTTGTCGTAGTCACTTAACTTAATATCATTTTTACGTAAAAAATTATATACATATGTATTACACAACTTTGGTAAATATCCACAAATTTTGTCTTTATCTAGGGCTGAAATAACAAATTCAAACTTACCATCGATATCCTGAACATTTAATTTGTATAAATCCCCCAAAAGACTCCCCCAAAAAGACAATGTGTAACCGTATGTTGACTTACTGGTTTGAGGCCTAACATTTTAACGACTCTTTTCGAAATGTAAGATTTTTGCGAACCGCTATCAAACAATGCTCGCACTTTTACACATTTTTCTAAATATAAAATATTTACAACAATTGTTTGCAATAATGTACTTGTACTATGACTAATATTTACACTTTGTTTTTGTTCTTTATTGTCCCTAGTGACAGATAACTCACAATGACAAGTATTGCTTGACGTCGCATTGTCACATGATTTGTTTTGTGCCAGTAAATTACCTTCTTTCTGGCTGTAACTAGGACACATCACAAAATTATGCCTCTTTGTACAGTGTAAGCATTTTGGATAGCTCCGACAAGTATTTGCATAGTGACCTACCCTTAAACAAATCATGCATGCTCTTTTTGCTTTCAGAAATTGTTTTCTTTCTTCCAGCGACATATCCTTAGTACGAATACACTCGGAACTCTTGTGGGTGGTTTTTTCACACCAGATGCATGTTGAAGTTTTGTCTGTTATCGAACTACATCCAATATCTGATCTGTTGATGGCCGACTTCCTATACAACTCCTTTTTTTCCGTTGCTACTATGCAAGCTGTAGGTAATCTATGATTTTGAGTTGTACCACTGAAGCTATTTTTAGCAATTTGAACTTTTTCTTCACACTCGACCTCAGATTTCAAAAACGTCATTAACTGTTCAAGCTCTCCGCAGTCAGAGCGTTTAACTGATCGTTCCCATAGACGCAAGGTCTCCTCTGGTATAGCCGACTCGATTAGTGGATATAACATTGCTGCATATCTATCGCTCGTTACACCTAAAGTCTCAAGACCTCTCAGCTGAGTATTTAATTTGTCGTACAATACCCGCAAATCTGTATCTTTCTTATGAGTTTGTGAAAGTACGAGTTCAAGAAGTTTCCTCACATAATGTTGTATAATAAGTTCATCTCGTGCAAATCGGGTCTTTAAATCTTCTAAAGCTTTGTGGTAATTGATACCACTGGGAGGAAAACTATCAACCAAGTTTCTAGCAGGAGTTCCCGGTTCTGTAGCTTTCAATAAATACTGAAACTTATCATCATCATCAATTGTCGTATCTTGATCTATTTTTCGGAATTGACCCCAAAAACCTATCCAATTCTCTACTTTTCCGTCGAATTGTTTTAATTCCAAGGTTGGTAATTGTAATTTCTTTTTAGTTGAAAATGCTTCGACAGTTGTTTTGTCATTATTATTTAACAGACGTAGTAGAATGGACTCACATTTTGCCTTAAGGATGTTAAAACTCATTTCACGTTCCGTGGTTTCTTCAATATCTAACAAAACGAACATTTCTTCCTCCGAAACATCTTCCGAAACAACGTATGACTTCAATGCTGAATCAACAGTAAACAATTCATCAGCTTTTCTTTTAAATGATTCATACAAGCCTTTTAATTCGAGACCTGGTATTTTTGTTTCAATAGCCTCTTCTAATTTCTTGGCAGCAATAGTATACGACATACGTGCTATTTTGCGGTTCTTCTTTAATTCACTTACGGTCGCCATATTATTGTTGTGGTTTAATCCTTTAAATATCTCATTTCACCGTGGTATTTTGAAATCGGGAAAAATTAAAACAATTATTTTAGGACATAGAACAAAAGATATTTTTATTACTTCAAAATCATTACATCAAAATCAAATTATTTCTTTATACCTAAACCATAAAGCATATTTACAAAAGAGTCCTGAACACACGGTTTTACCCAAGTAGAGGATAAAATGTTTTTTACAATACTACAACTTATCTGACTGATAATAATAGTAAATGTATAAAAAACAAACAAAATTATCTGCTTTAAAGTTGTATGTAACAAATAAACGACAAACAATTTAGTACAGTGTACAAACCTCCTATACAGAAGCGGCGCAGACCGCGATCGTCGTTTTTAAGCAACTTTCGCAAAAATCGGTCGCGGGATGGATTACCAAAAATATATCTAAAACTACTCCGTAAGGAAAACACGTGAAAAAGTTGGTCCCGGTTGTATTTGCAGTCGTTAATACCCTTCAATCCGCATTGGGCCAACGTGGAAGGTCATGGCCTATCCTTCTTAACAAGAAAGCCCCTGCAGTGAGGACATAAAAGAGCTGATAACGATGACTACCTCCACCGCGTATTGGAAATAAATTTAATGTAATTACAATAATTAGCTATTTGATTAGAAAAATTTCTTTCCTTATAACTCGACGTCAAGCTCTGCGCTGTCACAGCACAGAAGCTCGATGACAAAGTAGATTTCATTTGGTTGAATAATAAAAACAAAACTATTTATTACACAACTAAAAACATGTGTAATTAGTAAACGTTTTTATAACCTTAAAAATTCCTAAAATGTTAGCAACAAATTGAAAATCATAAACAAAATATATAATTACAATATATAGGTGCAATAAATAATCTTTAGCCAATACTGGCCCCCCAGAATTTCAGTGTCATTACAGTGCGTCACTTCTACAATATTGATTAATAATATCTTTACCTGTGATATACAGTAAATAAATTGAAATTAAACCTCTTTGCAATGACAGCATTGAGATTGTCAAGTCGATGAAAGAAAAAAAATCACCCTCTTGTACCTTAAACTTGTGCGGTCCTGTCGGCGCAGTCGCATAAGGGATGTTGTAGAAAGCAAACACATCGGCCCCCTCTGCCTTATATCCTATAATAGGACCCTGGTTTATGTTAACCAACTTCGACTCCTGCGCACTCGACTGAGTCAACACTACGCAAACACATATCAATACGACTAGAATCATCTCGGTATACTGATCACAATATGAGATGGTCTTACCTTTTAAAAGCATATTTTGTGTAGAATAAAATAATCATGGGATGGTCAATCGTTGTATACATAATTGTGCATATGTATTTACACCTAGGTTAAAGTTTATGTCCACTAAAATAAATTCAATATTATATATCTCATTTTTTCAATATTATAAATAATTTGATAGTTTAGTAAAAAAATTAATTTAGTAAAATAAATATATGAAAATAATTGGTGTAAATATATGTTTATAGGGTCATTATTTTTGTTCCTCTTATTTATTATATTTAAATGAGTGTAAATTATCATTATAAATATAGACCTCCGTGTTTAAGTTCAGTGCGTTATAAATCGTTACAAGCCTGATGTTCTAAGTTCGATTCTCAATCGGCTTTAAGCACAAAAATAAAACTTTACGAGATAAGTAGGTATATAAATTCAACGTGAAATTTTATTATTATTTAAAACGTTTAGTGATATATATTCTTTCAACACTGATTACAAGAACCCGCTTCTTTAATCTTCAGTTATCTAAAATTTTTAAACTTATATTATTAGAATCAAGATAGAATAGATTGCAACAGGGTCGCCCGAAAAATTAGTGCGCAATTATTTTTTTAATATTTTTATTGTAACTACTTTTTACTGTCAAATTGCAGTTACATGTTTCTTTTATGAATCCTACATCGTTTGAAAGAGAATGATGTAAGGAACTAAAATAAAAAAATGGTTGTCAACTCTCAGTTAGCCGCAACTCGTGGGTTGCCAGGTATCTTATTGTTAATTACACTTCCGTATTATCAAATGAATTATATATTAAATTAAGATTTTTCTCTTATCTACATTATAAAACACTGTCGCCTGTAAAATAAGTGCCGCAACCAGAGGTTGCCAATACTTGAATCCATTTTTTCCACACCGGAGACTATGATCTATGAGCAAGGGAGACGACGGGCGCTCACTGATTTGTGTATTAAAGAAGATTTTCAATTTTCTATTGCATTTTTTATCGATCAAATCAGGCTACGAACAAAATAAGATTATCCTTAATTTTTAATAATCATGTGCTTTGTACAAACAGTTACTATCAATGGCCCATATTTGTTTTATATTAATTACATTACATTACGACGATGCATATACACGGACGCGCTCACATACAAAACAATATCGGTACGTATGTATGAAGAGCACTTACTCTTATACTCTGGTGATACTGTGTGTATGATGGAATTGAAGGGCATTATTTATTATGAGCTGTTACGGTCAGGAAGGCAATTAATTCTGAAATTTACTGCGAACAACTGATGAGAAAGCAATAATTTGAGAGAAAGCATCCAGAAATAATCAATACAAGGGGTGTGATTTTTCGTTATGATAACGCTAGACCTCACACAGTTTTTGCCACTCAACTAAAATTAAGAGAGTTTGGCTGGAAGTCCTGACTTTGCACCTTCAGATTTCCATCTGTTTCGACCTCTTCAGAATTCTTTAGGCAGTTTCAGGTTAACATCACGCGAGGACTGCCAAAATTATTTGCCGTGGTTCTTTAATCAGAAGCCCCAAAATTTCTATAACAATGGCACCATGTCTCTGCCTATAAGATGGCAAAAGTTATCGAACAATATATTACCTACAAACTTTAGTTAAATGTAAGTTAACTTGTAAAACTAAGAAAAATGCGAAGAAACTTTTTGCCCAATCGATTTATAGATCGATTTATTGCCCCCAAAACCTGCTGCGTGCCTACAAAATTTTATAAAAATCGTTTGAATTTTCCGAAATTCAGATTATATAGGTATATTATGTATGAATCACCTCTCTTTCACGCTTGGCTGTTCTTATCACTTCTATGCTGACGATTTGCAAATATATGTGCAAACAACGACCGATGAAATCATAACAGGTATTTCCAGATTGAATGAGGATCTCTCTTATGTCAGTGCATGGTCAACTAATTTTGGGATTTCCGTGAACCCAACTAAATGTCAAGCAATTATGGTGGGAAGCTCCAAACAGCTTATTAAACTGGATTCTAGTCTGCTCCCACCTGTTGTGTATGAAAACTCTGTAATACCCTTCACTTCTACTGTTAAAAACCTTGGACTTCATATTGATTCGGAGCTCAGATGGACATCACAGGTTGCCGAGGTCAGTCGTGTGGTTACTTATTCTTTGCGCTCGCTTAATCGCTTCAGACATTTCCTTCCTACCAAAACTAAAGTCACCCTCGTCACTTCCCTTATTCTTCCTATCATTGACTATGCTGATGTCTGTTACCCTGATTTAAACGAAGATCTTCTTAATAAGTTGGACCGCCTTGTCAACAATGCAATTCGTTTTATTTTCTGCCTTCGCAAGTATGATCATGTTTCGTGTTATCGGTCTCAACTAAAATGGCTTCCTATTCGTCAGCGCAGACAGCTACGACTGCTCTGTATGCTCTTTTCCGTGCTTTCTAACCCTAATTCTCCAAATTACCTTAAATGTAAATTTCAATACCTTTGTGATTCTCATGACAGACAACTGCGTTCTGCTAATACACTTGCACTTTCTACTCCGCTTTTCCATTCGGGCTTTATGGCCGACTCTTTCACCCTTCATGCCATACGACTGTGGAATAGCCTCCCCGACACCATCAGACGATCTCCTAATAAATTCATTTTTAAACGGAAAGCTCACACTTTTCTCTTAGAGCATTTATGAAAATCATCATCATTTGTATATGTATCACAATTCATATATATATTTATGTATTTGTATATGTATAGGTATAATATTTATTTATGTTTATGTAATTGTATATAAATTCTTCTGTAGTGTAGTTTAAGTAGTATATTTATTAGTTAACTTTATGCCGCCATCGTGTATTTCTGTATCCCAAAGGTTGACTGGTAGAGAATGCTAATAGCATTAAGTCCGCCTTTTGTACCAATTCAATGGTCAATAAAGTTTGTTAAATAAAATAATACATACTCCTTATTGCACAAAAATAATTACAATATATAGCTGCAATAAAAAAATTGTAAAAAAAATTGTATAGACACGCATAAATATTTACTTAAAAAATTACAAAAGGCGGCCTTATCGTTAGTTAGCGTTTTCTTCCAGGCAACTTTGCATTGGATGGAAACAAAACATTAAATGGCAGATTGTGCATACAAAAAATTACAATTTAAATCATACAAAACAGAAGAAAAACAATTGTAACAGCAGAGTATTACTAAAAAGTACTTAACTTCGAACAAAATACTCAAAACACAAGTGACAGCCAGAGCGCGAGAAGTTACAAACAAACATTTACAAGCAAAAACAAACACAAAAGATGGCCTTATTATGCATAATCATCATCAGATAATAAACTTTGATCGTTTAAAGTATTACATAATATCCATTAATTAATAGTAAAAAGGCATTATTAATATTTAAAACTTTTGTATCACCGACTTAGTCTACAGCTATCCATCCACCCCTGTATAATAGCCACGAAGTACTGCGTTTTGTTGTACGGTATGGGGTCAGCGGCCTATCGTCCCGTAGAAATAGTATGTATAAAAATCTTATTTGAAAAACAATAATTGAAAAAAGGGTTATGAATGAATAAATCTAAATAACTCTTTATTTAGACGTTTACTTTATTTACGATTAATTCAAGTAATATAAGTATATTTTTTCGTAGTGAAACATTTTATGTATGTGTATCAAACACCATACATAAAATGTCAAAAAACGACTATGTTTAAAAATCAATAATTTGTGGTTACTTTTCGCAACAATGCACTCAAATTAGGTATTAAAACTATAATATTCATAATCCACAATAGTTTGTTGATGCTAAGAATCTTAGCAGAATTTCTAGGTGAGATGGGTGTGCGGTAGTACTTCCCGTATATGTCATCCCAGAGATTAGCGCGCTCCTTATATAATGACCCTTGAACTGTTATGTTAACTCCTTATGTTATAGGATCTCTGTTAGCATTTGTTGGACCCCATGGCGGCAGTAAAGAATCTTCAGAGATTGGTGTAGTAAAAATTTTATGTTTGATGCACAATCGGAATAGTTAGAAAAAAAAAATCTTTTGACTCTTATGAGTACTACAAAATGCAAAGGACATTTTATTAGTATTATGAAAAAATCATTCTAGATTTTATTCAAAATTTTGGAAGTTTTCAAAAGTCTGATGATTTTTTTTTTCATTCAATAATAAATATCGATTCTGTTTTTACATTTTTCTCATTTTAACTCTATTAACAGTATTAGCAGTATTATATAGAAATGAACTAATAACGTAGTGTTGGCGTTTCGCAAGAGCTGTTTTATGGGGAATTATTTTGCAAACTCTAAATTTTCTGCGCTTTGGAGGAATGTAAGGTAGGTCCTTATGCCTGCGTAGAATACTGTTCATTACAAATTGCTAAGTCACTGTCAGTAGTGTACATTCACGGTATAGGAGCTCAGTACTATATCTACACGGTTTCCCCATCATTATCTTTAATATAGCCCGTTGAGTCCTTTCTAATGGAAGCAGTGTACTAATACCAACACCACCCCAAGTAACAAGTAACTACACAGTATTGTAACAATGACTGAACCAGTGCATAGTAAACGCAGAGCAATGTATCATGATCACCAGAGAATCTAAGCTTACGGAAGACGGAAACAGTTTTCTAATGCGGCTAGTTAGGTATTGAATATGTATTTTCCAATTTAGACTATTGTCCAGAATTAGTCCAAAATACTTCACATTTTGCTTACACCTCATTTCAGGACAATTTTCTGTCGTGCAATGATGAACCTTGATGGAAAAACTGGGAGGCACAGCATCTACACAGCTAGGGAACATTACATATTTTGTTTTTTCCACGTTAAGTGACAGTAAATTATCTTTCAGCCATCTCATAACATCTCCGAAAGCACTCTCTGTGTAATTTTTTAACAGTTCCCAATCCCTCCCATACCAAAGCCGTGTCATCCGCATAGGTGATAATATTACAAATAGATAGCGATAAGCAGCACAGACTATTGATGTATATTATTAAGTAAACAAAAAGTGTATTCGATAAATAATAAACGTAATCTTGAATTGTACGAGTATCTTCGGATACGGGCTTATCTCCGAAATAA